TACTGTGAGGAAAACTAACTCTATCCCAATTAAAACCAGCACACAGTAAATTGCAGCATTATATCCTGAATAAAACTGCCTTCCTTTTGTTTCTTTTGAACCTGTTACTTGTCAAGCTTATAATAAAATAATAGAAATATTGTATAATAGAAAATGCAAGTAGAGATTTTCAAACAGAGATACCCAAATCAATCTTTGAAACCACTTAGGTATCACTTTATCATTTCTATCTGTGCTTACATTTATTTTTAAAAAGGTGTAGGTCAAGTGTTCATTTCTGTTTCTAAAATTGCATGTAACAACCCAAATGTAATTAAGTTTTATTCAGTGGAAAATCCATTTTCGCTTTCTTCTTTCACCAAAAAGAAATACTGGTTGGAATACCAGGCAGAGAATGGTGGATTTGGCCCTGGAATAAGGGCTTGCCAGGTGCAGTTAGCACACCAGCCCTGTCTCTCAAGTGAGTAACAGAGTTACCCATAACATTTATGCAAATGCACTGTGTCCCAGTTTGCTTCTCAGCGGGTGGAACAGCCTTTTGTGTGTCTGTCTTAGCTGAAGTAAATAAAAGAGATAGTGCTGAGGTTAGGCTGAATTTTGAAATAATATTTGTTTGTACTTGTAGAAAATAGGAAAGTGAAAGTATTGTCTTCCTCCCATGGTGAACAGAAATGGCAGGAAAGGTAATCGTATGAGTGGAAGCGGCACAGAAGAGCACTCCTCACGTATTAGGGATGGCTTGAATCTTGCTGTTGGCAGATGGCTTAATGCACTAAAACGGACGAGAGAGCATTACAGACAGCGTGGCATCGTAGCTGTACGGATGGAGACACTCGGGCAGTAGCTCAGTGCAGTTTGGGGAGTGACGGAGAGAAGAAAATGACTCTGTCGCAATTAATTAGAAAAGTAGCAGTACAATACAGAGACAAAGCCCAGGGACAAGTGTTGTCCCTGCAGGTCGAGCATCAGATACCTTGGCACTGTCCATACAGGACCCTTCAGCTCCTCAGCTTTCTGCCTGTACGGGGGATATGGCGTTTTACTGAACTGACAGTCGTACGAGAAAACAGCTGTTTAAGCAAGCAAAGATCAGTCAAAGGGAGGAAGATGCTGAAACTGGACAATTCAGTTCCTTCTTTCCCCACTACTGGGGCCAGTTCTGTTTATATCTTTGATGATCTGGATGAGGGGATGGAGTGCATCCTCTGGAATTTTGCGGATGACACCAACTCGGGTGGGAGTGTTGATCCACTTTAGGGTAGGAAGACTTTTTACAGGGGTCAGGACAGGCTGGATTGATGGACTTGATGATCTTAAAGGTCTCTTCCAACCTACATGATTCTATGATTCTCAGATAAATACAGTTCTGACTGCTGCTCTCGCCTCCTGAGATTCTGCTTCTGTGCTGAAATGAAAGACAATTTCTTTATTTCTGTGCAGAACTGAACAGCAGAGGACCCTCCTGAGTACTTTCAGAAAATTTTTGCTTCTTTCATTGCAAGCAGCATATTTTGTATGGCAATTGGCACAGCATTTGGTATGTGTTTTTTTTTTTATGGTGCAGTACGATGTTTTGTTCTGTACTTTGTATGGGATGGTATTTCGTATGGTCTTTGGTACAGCGCATCATGTGTTACTGCATTTTGTACGGTATTTTCCATGGCATTTTGTACAGGATAGCATTTGGTACAGTGTAGTATTTTGCACAGTACGGTATTTCCTATGACATTTGGTACGGCCTTTGGAATGGTACCGGATGGTATTTGCTACGGTATTTTGTATGGGATGGTATTTGCTATGGCATTTGGCTTGGGATGGTATTTTGTATGGTGTTTGGTAAGGGATGATATTTTGTACAGTATTAGTGCGGCATTTTGTAGGAGACAGTATTTCACGTGGCGTTTGGACAGGACAGTATTTTGTATGGCACTTTGTGGTCTTTGCTACAGTATTACATACAGGACGGTATTTGGTGTGGCATTTTGTATGGTACGGTTTTTGCTACAGGCCCATATTTCATACTGATATGGGAAATTGATGATTAGTTTGATTTTGTTATAACTTTTAGTTATGTAGCTTTGTTTCCGTGCGTCAGTACGGCATTTGATAGGGTACATCATTTGGTATGGTACCTTATTTTCTATGATACAGTATTCGCTACAGTACTTCTTTATGGTATGATGGTATTTTATGGTATTTTATATGGTACGGTATTTGGTAGGGTATGGCACGGTATTTTGTATGGTATTTGGTGGGTATGATGCTTCCCATGGTATTTTATATGGTACGGTATTTGGTAGGTTATGGCACGGTATTTTGTATGGTATTTGGTGTGTCCTCTTGTACTAAAGAAGTGCTTCACCAATGACAACCCAATTTTGCAGCACTCCACTGAATTCTTTTAAATAAAATGCCTTGCATTGTTCACTTGCCTTTGCTCTGGAGTGGGGAGAGGACCAGGAAAGCTAGTGCAAATCAGAGCTGCTGAGGTGAGGTGGCCTTGTTTCTGACCTCTGTTTCCTTAGGCAGGAATGAACTTTTACCTTATTGTGTTTTGTTTTGGGTTTCAACTTCAGCCAAGAAAAAGGAGGTTAGCTACAATTAACATCATTGTTTTGGCTCTTTCAGAAAGTAGCAGTGGGTTTAGATTTTTTTTTTCCTTGTCCATTACAGGGTTGGTTTTGGCCTAATAAATTCCTACGTAATCAGAATAGTATTGGGAGCTGAGCTATTGAGGGTGGCCAGGGTAGGAGCGTAGTGACTGGCACTGCAGGAAGGAGCATTAACTTGAGCAATAAACCGTGCTCTAGTGATACCAATGCTAGAAAAGCTCTCCTGACACCAGGCTGGCAGGGTACACTCAGTGTGCCGGGAGGCTGGCACTCCCACAGGCAAACCTGGCAGGCTTCTGTCCTGGGTGTTCACTCGTGTGGCAGAACAACGAGGAGACATGTAAGAGAAACAAGAATAAATCCCACAACACCCAAAGACCTCTTCTGAGTGGTGTACGTGCTTTTTATTAATCATGTGACAACAAGATATTAGTTGTGAACACTTGAGACCAAGGTGACCTCTATCAAAGGTGTAACCTGGAGACATGAGAGAGCAACAAACCCCCTGCAAAGCTCACCTGCTGGCTTCTGGACCCAAACCCTGCTGGGGGAGTGGGTGAGCCAGAATCTGAAATACTACGTGGAGATTTTGTCTTTGTGGTGTGACAGCAACGTACGCTCTCCCAATCTCTGTGCCACACACAGTCCTGCTCTCAGCCCTGCTTAGTCTGCCAGCAGGCTCTGTGGCCTGCTCTCTATTACCCCTGTTAGCTGCTTCCCAGCCTGTTGCCCTAAGAGGGCTACCAACAACCTATAATGGACATTTTCCGTGACCCTGATGGAAACATGCCGGAGGGAATTAGGAGTTGGACAGAAGTAACTTTTCTTCCTAACTTTTCCTTTTGTTTAACAAACAGTAAGGTTAGAGAAGGTGTAATAGGGATCTGTACCCTTTTTACTTCATGATCAGTTAGGTTTTATACTTAGTTTATACTGCTCCACTGTCCTCAGCCTAGAAACAGAGTGGTCCCCAAGAGGAAAACCACAGTTATTTTTGCTGCCCACGTTGCACAAGGTAAGTGAACGGCCATGCAAAACATGGCACTAAATGACATGGAGCAGCAGCCCGTAGTCTGGAGGCACTGGCAGTGGTGCATCGTGAAGGTCTGGCATTTGAGGGAGCCCTTTTTAGCAAAGGCAAAAAAAAAAAAAGGCTCTATTTAACTGCCAGGCAAAGACATTGTGAGCAGCAAGTGGAGTCTAGGAAAACCTAGTGACAGAGCAGGGAAGATAACTCAGCTTCCTTAAAAGAAAATCAGTCCAAGTGGGCTTGGATTCAGCCTCGGAACAACTTACTTTCTCTGAGTACCTCAGAGCAGCGTAGTAGTGATCCCAGACTGATGGCACTTACCAGCACAGGCCTGTGTTCAGGACTCTACTGCTGTAAGAAAAATAATGGTCACTACAGCTCCCTTGCAAAAACCCCATCCATCCTAAGATTCAGGATATGTGCATGTGTGAACTGAGCTCAGAATAACGATGTATTGCATGCTGGGTTTTCTGTGCAGTGATTAGGAAAGCTTTTTTGTTGTTAGTATCTGATTTAGCTGAACGTCCAACTGTAACAGCAGATTTATTAGGGCTCACGGAATCCAGTAGGAAGCAGAACACCGATTAATGTTGCAAAAGGCGTTCAAAGAGCTCTTACTATTGCTGCGTTGCAGTCAGTGCTTTTCTGCTACACTCCATCCACATTGGTAAAAGCCACTTTCTGTATTTGCCGAACATTTTCACACGTACGTTTCCAAGGCCAGGCCCTGGCTCAGGGGAGATCTTTAGAACTTCCTATCTAGATGCAGGTTAAGGGCCCAGACTCGGCTCGCGTCGAGCAGTCCTGGTCATGGTGTAAGGATGCTGAGGAAGGATCTGACCCAGGAAAGGCAACATATAGAATGCAGGTGGGTTAGTACTGCCCACATTCCTCCCTGGTGAAGGAATGCCGAGCCTCGAGAATGCCACAGACCTTGGGCAGGTGGGCACCTTGCATCCTCCTTTTCACCTACAGCACAGCCCCGTACACGTACGGCCCACAGTGCTCTGCTGAAACGCCCCCGGGTGAGGTGCGATCGTCTCTCACTGCAGGAGACGGGGCGTTTTTCCCAACCGTGTGCTGCTCAGTGATCCAACAGCACTTTCAAATCATTTAAGCAGGTGTAATCTTACAGATTTAGAGAAAAGCGAAACATTAACATATATTAAATAAGTGGGAGAAAAGATGAAAAATGGTCAGAAAATCAAGAAAGAAACAAAAAAAGTGGGAGAATATTAGACTCTTTCTCTGCCTCTGAATTCACTCATGACTTGAACAGGATGGATCCTCTTCTTTGTAGAACCTTTTCTGACAGCCGCATAGATTTCTTCTGGTTTCTCCCTTTTAATTAGGGGCTTCTTCTCTGGAGCCTTCATTCTCCACATCACCACAGGATGTCGTGGGCCAGTAGGGCTCTGAATCTTGATGATCTTTGTGGACGCAATGTAGGACATCTTCACTGTCTGCACCACAGCGTTCATTAAGTTTTTGGCAGCCTGAATTAGTGAAGTGACGCTATCCAACTGCAGTAAGAAACAGAAATGTTAGCCTAGGAACCCCGACTGCTTTTCATCACAATACTCTGAGGACTAACTACCAAACCCCAGTTTCTTTGTTTCCCTTGGTGTGTTTGATCGTTGCATTCATGTTACATTCATACATTATGGTCATCCGGTCCCTGAGGGGGCTACAAGGAAGCTGGGGGGGACTTTTTACAAGGGCCTGTAGTGACAGGACAAGGGGTAACGGGTTTAAATGGAAAGCAGGCAGATCTAGATTGGATATCAGGAAGAAATTCTTTCCGCAGAGGGTGGAGAGGCACTGGAAACCGTGAGTGTAAAAGCAGTGGGAATAAAATGAGGTAAGGAGGACTGCAGTGCAGCAGATACCATTCTTCTACTCACAGCAGACATGATGAGCTCTCCACCGAGGTTCTGGATTTCTGCTTTAACCTGACTGCAGATTTTGAGCTGATGGGAGTAGAGCTTGATCTGTTCTAGGTAAGCCAACAAATCCTGTTTGCACGACTGGTCTGGACACTGAAGATTTAAGACAAGAACAGTTAAGAAGGCGTTTTAGCAACTTCTCTCAGACATCACGTTAACACTTCCCCGAGGGGTACTCAGACCGCATGCAAGTGTAGTCTGGCTTTTCACTGCAGCCGGTTGAATACTCCGTTCCCCTTGTTCGCTTGCTTTTTAACAAAACAATTGCAGCAGCTCAGAGTAATACTAAACTTCCCTAGATTCATTTTTTGTGGAAAAAAAAGTGGCTGGGCTTGCCTGCTTTCCCTTCAGTTCCTAAGAGGTTATGATTTCTTTTTAAGAAGAAACTTTATGTGGGCAAATGTAAACTTTTTTTTTATACAAAAAGCATCCTACCCTCACTTCTGTGAGCTCCCAAAATACCTGGAGGGGCACTGTTCCTCTGTGAGTGCCGGACTAGACACCTGCGGCTTGGTGTGCACTTGTTCTACAGCTGCTTTTCATTGCCCCTGCAGAATGAGGGCACCTTAAGGTGAAGGCCAAGTCCCCGTCCTGCTTTGAGGAGTGGGTGTGACAAGTACGACACACATCCCTACAGTTCTTCAGAGCCGTTTTCAGCCCGTGTGCTGTTCTGGCATTATAAATATGGTCACTTCCTTCTGATAGGAAATTGTGTGCAGCTTTGCATATGCCAGAAGGAAAGCCACCTTCCCAGCACCTGCACTGGCACCAGCCATCTATGGCTTCGAACAGTTACTAAACCTTTCCTCTTACGGCACTGTGGTCAGTGCAGTAGTGATTTAAATCCAAAACCTGCCAGAAGTCAGAGAAAGCACCGGTTCTACTTAATTCATGAAATACTTCAGTACCTAAACTACTGGCTTCACTGAAGAAAGTTGGCACGTGTTTAAAATGGGGGTGTCATGGTTCCACTCCTCATGACTGCAGCAGAGCAGACATGCTTGGTAAGCAGGCAAGTCCGTGGTTTAGACTTGGGGAAAAAATGACAGGGAATAATGAAGAAATTACAGTGAGCAATTTAAAATCAATATGAATTAAATGTCAGTCCTTACCTCATGTTCTGCTAGATCCATTACTAAAATGTTTTCTGTACCTTGGCACCGTTTAGAAAGACAATAGAAGTTTCTTGACATGTGTGTGTGATGTTTTCAAAGTGTGTGTTTTGGACAACTCTACTAAAATATGTCTGTCTCCCTTATTCAGTGCTGCTTTAGGAACTGCACAAATCAGTATTTAAATACTGGTATCTCTGTGACTGCTTAGACAACTGGAATACTCATCGTTTATGTAATTTTAACTAGTAAAAATCTGTCCTTCCAGTCAAATGCAGCTGTGATCCCTTTAAGCATCACAACTTACTATATCAAGACAGGGTTCACTTCCTGGAACAAGATGCTTGCTCCTCAATTTTTCCTTTTCTTCTTCTTAGATGCACTGTGATTTGGGTTTTTTCCACTGGAAAAACTCAGGAGACGGGCAGAGAGGGTGCCGATACAGTGTCTCATCCACTTCAAACAGTGACAGTGTCAGCAGAGGTTCAGAGACAAGAATATTTAACATTATACGGTTCTCTTTCGTATCATAAAATTGGCAGGTCAGTCACATTTACCATCTTCCTTAGGTATCGAGATGCATTGTGATTTGGGTTTTTTCCACTGGAAAAACTCAGGAGACGGGCAGAGAGGGTGCCGATACAGTGTCTCATCCACTTCAAACAGTGACAGTGTCAGCAGAGGTTCAGAGACAAGAATATTTAACATTATACGGTTCTCTTTCGTATCATAAAATTGGCAGGTCAGTCACATTTACCATCTTCCTTAGGTATCGTCAGAGAAGAAATGAGAGAGTTTTTAGGAATGCTAAAGATGGCGCGCATGAAAGACTGGGAAACTGCCACGCGGGAACAAGAACCTATTTGAGGTTAGAACAGTGGTACGACAGCACTGCTTCAGTGCTCGGTAGCGTTCAATCAAAAGCAAATCCTAGGCATTATTAGGCAAAGAGTTCTGAAATGTAATTATGCAACTGTGCTGCTCTGTGGTGTACCCACAGCTCTACCACCCCGCGTAGGTACGGTGCGTCTTCTCCCGTCTTGCCCCTTAGAAGGCACACAAGGAAACAGGAAAAGGACAACACAGATTTTCATGGAGACAGGCTTTCTTTCCTCAAGTACAAACCCAAGAGGTCGTTAAAAGTAAACAGCATGAGTTCAAAACAGAGGGAGATCCCTGGGGGGTGGGTACTTTTTACAAGGGCCTGTAGTGACAGGACAAGGGGTAATGGGTTTAAATTGAAAGTGGGGAGGTTTAGATTGGATATCAGGAAGAAATTCTTCCCAAAGAGGGTGGTGAGGCACTGGCACAGGTTGCCCGGAGAAGCTGTGGATGCCCCATCCCTGGAAGTGTCCAAGGCCAGGCTGGATGAGGCTTGGAGCAACCTGGTCTAGGGGAAGGTGTCCCTGCCCATGGCAGGGGGGTGGGACCGGATGACCTTTAAGGTCCCTTCCAATCCAAACCATTCTAGGATTCTATGATTAATACTGGGCATAATCACATACAGCCCCACATCTGTAAATACAAATGTGTAAGTTAGTGCAGCCATTTGTTAGGTGTAAGCTTTTAGGCAAGATCATCCTGTAATCAAAAGCTTTTTGGATCTGCTTGGCTTTATCAGCTGATCATTTCAAAGGATGCCTTCTTAATTTTACTTTCAGGGATACTTTTTAAAGTACGAAAAACCAGTTCCTGAGCCAGTCAGGAAACTACCTGGTCTGTAGAGAAGATGTTTTGCACTGATCCCTGTACTTCCAGAATTCAGCAGCAGTTCACGTTTCCCCGTGTGGATGTGTCGAGCCCGACTGCTGCCGCACATAGCAGTTACCCCAACGGGGCCAAGACCTGGCTGCGCTATGCTGCACGTAGGGCTCGGCCTTCAGGCCGTGCCGCGGTGCACAAAGCCCCGGCCGCAGCACACACCCAGCTAACCCTCAGCCGAGGCACCCGCGGGCAGCTCCCGCTCGGTACTGGCCATCAGGACACGTGGCATCCTCACCTTTGCCTAGGGCTGCAGAGAGGGTTCTCGTGTCAGCATCCCGTTTGACAGTGGGAACGGTTAAGACAGGTTTCCACGTAAGAAAACAGGTTTCCTGGTGTGGCCGACGAGTTACAAAAATACCGCAAATACGGTTTCAGGGTGGTTTTGTGGGGTTTTTCTCCTCCGAACAGAAAACCTGTATGAACAATGCAATTCCACAGTCCTTGATTCTGAATCTCGGAAATTACATGGAATGTGAATTAAGAGAATTCATTTGAAAATGTTTTATGAACAGGAAAAGGTCAAAGAGAGAGGATGGTGATTCTTCATTGTGCAGTGATTGCTGATGTCGGATTCCTGCTCGGCTCTGAAGTGAGGCTGAGGAAAGAGAGCAAGGTTTTGGCTTTTCTTCCGTGCATGTAGGCCAAATACTGAAAACGCTTTATGGTGGTCCTCTTAACTGCAAAGGGAGAGTCGCAGCTGAGTCAGGGGACAACCGTCCTGTGGCCTAATGCAGTGACAGTGTTGGAAGCGTAAAGGGTAGCCAGAGCTCGGCAGCCAGTGGCACAAGCGTGTCAAGGAAAGTATGCACAGGAGGAACGCGAGGACCCCTAACAGGTGAAAACTGGTACAGCATAGAGCTCTTTTCCCTTTTGAAGCAAACCGTACAGATCCATTTTTACATGGAATAAAAATATCATATCATTTAGGTGTGGAATATTCCACTAAAAAGTAGTGATGCTGCTGAGGAATGCACTCGGCAAACCTCACGAGTTCAGGTGCCAGCCTGGGCACCAACTTCTTGTAGGGTTCCTTCAGTCTGGACCAACTTCAGAGCACAGCCTGAGGGAACGTGTAGTTTCTTTTATTTTAGGACCTCAAGAGAGCAAGGCATAGGAAATTTGGCAAAAAACAGCCAAAAAAGAAAGGAATTCTTGGTCTCTACAGATACTTGGTGAGTAAAAAAATCCCAGAGTGAGAAAAGTGGTCTGAAAGTTAAAGGATGCTTTGGCATGGGGAAAAAAGGGTTACAGAGTTTAAAAGATTTCTAGCCATCTGAGGAATGAAGGGATCCTATTAAGCACCTCTGGATTAGAAGGAGTAAAGGTGAGATTCTCTTATTTTCCTACAGGTTTGACACGTACCTAGCAATAATTGTAGCTGTGATTGCAGTACCACAGAGGTAGTGGAAGGGTTTTACTTTGTATATGGTCGTTTGCTTCTGGTGCTTACAGGGTGAAATTACGTTTAAGATACACCTAGAAGTGACTAGTGTATTTCAGCTGCCACAGGGAATACACACGAGGGGTCAGGTGGCTCAAGGGTACCCAGGGTGTGCAAGCTCTGAGCTAGGGCATTTGAGTGAAGCCACTGAGGAGGTTACAGTAACTTGAATGATGTCACATTTCCCAGCAGCTACGAGGGAACACACAAATTATGAGCTCTAATGATTCATGGCTACTTTTTCCTCAGACTAATTTGTTCATGTTTCTAGTCTGGAGACACTGTAATAATACAGAAAAAGGAAAATTTCAGGAAGGAAGTATTTCAGCGAGACTAGATTCCCTGTTCTGAAAAAGAGCAAGAGGTTATGACCCTTTGGCTTTGACACTGCATCATTTTCTGCAGTAGATCTGACGAGTTATGGATTTGCATTTTAATTTGTAAGAGGAGCCATTCTCCAGTGCTCTTGAAGGGAGAGATGTGCTGGAAGAGAATCTGGCAAGATCAGAAACAGGGACTCGAGACCTTTTACCTAGTTCTTCCACAAACCAGACCACAACTGCACAGATTAAAACCAGCAATTCTTTGTCTTGTCATCTGGAATTCAGCGAGACGTTATGACAGAGAAACCGTGGCTGCTTTACAGACAGGAGCAAAGCAGGCTTTGTGTATGCAACTGAGGCGGGAGGGAAGGAGAGGCAGCGTGCGAGGGCGTGGAAGGCAGTGACTGTGTGACACTACACCTGCCCGGCAGGCAGTCACAAAGACTAGGAACGCAAACGCTCCAGCTGTGACACCTGCACCGTCCGTCCCTAAGCCAACCACCCTTACGCAGTGCAGAGGGCTGCAGGCGACGAGCTGCCTGGTGCATTCCCTTACTAAGCCACAGCTGTCTTAGGAAAAGGAGCGTGCTTATCGATTTACACAGCTGAAAAGAAACCCAAAGAGGATCTATCTGATGCTCTAAGAATCCAGTGGGAATAAAGCAGACCTAACCCTTTGCATTTGGTAAGGACAGGTATTTTTTAAATGATAAAAATATCACCTCGAGACTGAAGGCATGCAGAGGCCAAAGAGAGGAAAGGTAACCTCAGTATAGCAAAAGCACAGATCCTGTAAGGTACACAGTGGTTAGGGCGGAAAGAGTTAATTCCGAAGACAGAGAAGCAGCCAGTAACGTTACCGAGTGCAGCGCTGGGACCTCGCGCCTGTCCGCAGCAGAGAGCCTGCCCAGCAGCACGCTGCTGACGCAGCAGCCCTGCCTTCCCACCGCCAAGCTGCCTCGCCTGCAGCAGCCCCAGCTCTGCCTGGGCTAGTCACCCAAAGCATGGGCTCTACAGCTAAAGTGTTCTGTACACAGCCTAAAGCACCTCTGCATATATGTATTTCTAGGTACACCCCTATATATTCGTATACAGCCTGTCTCTAAAATGCTGCATTTGTAGCTTCAAGGAGCTCACAAATATACACATGTACCCATATGTACATACATGTATGTACATACACATCTGTGATGTAAGTATGCATTCATGTGATGTAAGTACACATCCACTTAGAAAATGTATAAAAATAATAAACAGACACAGATTTGTACAAAGAGTAGAATGCACCTGCACAATTAAGACAGGACCTATGTATCCATCGCTTCAGAAACGGAGGAGAAAAGGAAGATCAGACAGGTAGACGTACAGGTGACACAAGTGCTTTAAAAAGTGCCCTCCGTAGGTGGTGGAGGTTCTGTAGATGGGCGAGTCTGGGCCAAGTGGAATGCACTGCGGCATAAATAGCCTACCTGATTGGCAATCAGCCGTGCTAGGACATCCATCCTCGATCCTGACTCCGAAATCATTTTTGCTGCATTAATTACATCAGATGTGTTCTTCAGTGGTCCTCTACCCCTTCAAATGAAACAAAGAACCCTATTAGATTATTCAAAACCGAGAATAAATCCTAGCCATGCAAATTAGGCACAGAAGAACTCCATTGAATAACTAATCCATACAGAAGCAACATTAATTAAATCCCCGCCTCGCAAACTGTTTTGTTTTCATCTCCCACAAATCTGTACTGTTTGGCGTCCGCTGGATGCACAAGTACCAGAAAGATGTCACACCGTTTTTTCATGCTGGAAGCACAACCCATGCCAAATCCTGCGGATGCAGGTTTGAACACAGTGCTTGTGCTGTTTGCTTTTCCTGTGGTTGTATGAAGTTTATGTTCCCGTCCCTTCCGGGAATTTTCTAGTAAGTTCAAAGGAAGTTCAGCACAGTGATGTAGTCTGAGACTCATTATGGGTATCTGGTCAGAAGAACCAGGGGTTTTTAATGTAATTCATGTACACAGCACCAATGGAAATACGTGAACAGGGCTGCAATTAAAACCAACAAATGCCACTCACAATACAGATAGACCATAAGTACTGTCTCAAAGTACTGTCTAAATAATTTCATAAATTATTCAAAGAACAACTTGCAGTTTAGGAAAACTGAAGTTCTTGTTTGTCAGGAAGCCAACCTCTTTTTTTTTTGTAGAAACACACCCCCCGCCCCCAAAAACTTGTTTAATTACATGAGAACGTTTCCAGAGCCTAAGTAGTAAAAGGTGACTACCTAAAGGTAGGTGGTATTGACAGCCATGGTCTGCACGTTCTCTTGTGCTTCACCTTCTTCACTGCTGAAATACTCCAGCTAAACTAAACCCAAGTTACACTTCCTACACATGTAAAGTGGTCAACCCTACTAAATTCAACTTTGCATTTCGCATCTTTGACAAGAACACTTGTATTATATAAACATTTAATTCCTGAAGGCCTGGTATCAATTTCCAAGTTCTGAAATGGACAAAGGGAATACAAGACATGGAAAAAAGTGACTATGCTGCTTTGTTCACATGAGAAGGCCCTTTTCCTTGAAGTCAGCACACCATCCCAGTACAAACTCACTTAGCCTAGAAATGTTCTCACCTGTGGGCATACAGACACTGCATTCAGTAAGAAGACAGTGATGACAACACAAGAGGGCAGCTTCTGGTTAATGTCTCTTTTCTTGATTAATCATATTGCTTAGTAATAAACTACCTGCTGGTCCTTGAGGAAAAAGCATACAAGTTACAGTTCCTAGCTCTCAGCTTTTGAGGCCCACATTTCGCGCAGCCTAGAACTGTTATTTTAAGTGTTATTTTCCTGCAAAAAGGTATCTTCTTGTTATGGAAAACCTGTTGAGCAAATTGATCTGAGTTTACAAAAGGACAATAATGTATGTGAGGAATGAATGTGCAAATGCAATCCCATGCATCCAGGATTGACTACTTCAAACTTCCCCATACCTTTCATTTGCCTTTCCTGCTGTTTTCCCTCCTAACCCTTCGTTGCACAGCTGAATTCCCCCCATTTCAGTGCACTCACTGGTTTTTCATTGCTGCTAGCAATTAAGTTCTGCTTCGGCATTTCTCATATCCACCAGCAGCTTCACGGACATCTGAAGATAGGCCGCGCCACTGGGCTAGACTAGAGAGACGTCAGGTGCGACCGATGGGGTGATTTAAGTCTCCTTCTGAGGGCTCCTCCAGCGTGAGGGTTTCATTGT